TAATATAAATCCCTGGAAGAGAAAGGGAAATCAACACCTTAGAAACTTAATGGCTGCTGGAGTGCAGCCATTCATAAGGATAACAGCACCACCTGCTGGACATAGGTACCAGGTACATCTTAGTCTCACTGTCACCCTGGGTAGATTGCAGTGGTGTCATCGTAGCTCTGCCTCCCAAGTAGCTGGGACTACAGGCGCACACCATGAAACCCGGCTAATTTTTCTACTTTTAGTAGAGACAGGGTTGGGGATGGGGTCTCTCTCTTGCTCAGGCTGGATTTGAACTCCTGAACTCAAGCAAACCTCCCATCTGGGCCTCCCAGAGTGCTAGGATTACAGATGTGAGCCACAGAGCCCGGCCCCAAGTACATCCTTTTTAAAAGGTCAGCAGTTAATCTAGTTGTAAACTCTCGTTGAAACTGATTAACTGACCCATGAAGGCCTCAAGACTCTGAAGGGTGGGTCAATTTGGAATCAACTGCTAACAAAGGAAGGGTTCAACAAGCCTCATGGTCCTATGGAAATTGTATATTCAAGAATATAGCCGGCCTGGCCTTAAAGGCATCTTGGTTTTACATGAAGTGGTAGCTCCCACTTTGGAAGAAACTATCTTCCACTCTACTACGTGGAGTGGAAACGTAACTGCTGGCTGAAGGGCCCTTGATTCACAAGGGTTCCTCTAAATGTTCGTGCCTGGTCACTATAGTTAGGTTAAGTTAAAAGCCCCTGACAACTCTGGATGTCTGACTGCAGTAAGGGTTGAAGCATCTGCTATGCTTCTCAGAAGACTAAATACTGAGAGATTACAGACACCCCTTTGGAGCCACTCCCTGCTGATGTGACAGTCTGGATCACTCGTGTGGATGCCCACGGTAAGAGCCAGTACTCTGATGAGACTGATTGGAATCAAGCTGCTGATCAAGCCCATACCACCCAGATTGCTGCCATCACCACGATGATTCATCCACACACCAGATGTGGAAACACATCTACCATCATGAACGGAGCACAAAGTAAAGTACGTGTTTCTGAAGCACAAGCCATCCCTGCATTCCAGACTTGTGACTCCTGCCAAAAATTGGCCTACTTGTCTTGCAGTAAAGGAAATCATAGGCAGTGGCCCTGCTTGTGCCTAGGAAATTGATTTCATTAGAAATTTGTAGCCTTCTTGGGGATGTCATTGGTACTTTGCTACTGCTGATACTTTTTCAGGTTACAATGTTGATGATGCTGTTCCAGTTCAATAATCTGACTCTGGATATACCATTGTGGCCCTTGAAACTAAATTCTGTCACATTATCAGCATTCCAAACCATCTACAACCTGACAACAGTACACCTTTTTGTCACAATGGCTACCCAACAATAGGCCAATAGTCAAGGTTTTTGATAGACATTCCACACTCCTTACCATCCACAAACATCTGATATTGTCAACCACTGAAAAGTCCCCTCCAAAATCAACTCAAAAAGATTTCTGACTCTACCTCCCTCACCTCCTCCTGGTCTACACACCTTAGTAAAGCAGTTTGGTCACCTAATGCAGTCATCCTCCGAGAGAGTTCTTCTCTTGGCCATCAACTGGGTAGGCATCAAGAAAAAGGGTTGGAGGGTTATATAAACCTACTTTGAACATGTGAAATTTTTCCTGAGCATGATTTTGTATTTATTTCCCCTATCAGGAACCCCAGATCAGCCAGGAGTGATGGGGTGGTGGTGTCTATGGAATTTAAACTTAGTTCTACTTTAGTAGTGTGGATTGTCTTATTGGAATGACATGGCCCTAAAGCATAAAGATAATGATTACTCGGTTGAGTTACACTGCTTTTCAAGTCTCCCTACAGTGGCCCACATATGTCAAGGTAGGAAATATAATGGGCTCTTGTCAATTTTCTAACAATGTCCTTGGCAAAAAGGTCTGGATATTGGTAGGGTATAACTGGAGAAAAGGTGAAGCTATAGGTACTAGACTGGGACACACTGATTATGTGGCAGTAGAAGGAAAGAAACAACAGGCCAATGCTCAAGGTTTTCTAGGGAACATATTAGACACCTGGAAATGTAAAAAGAAGGGAAACAATTAATGTTCTCTTTGCCCCTAGGTCCAGCTCCAAAGCCTGGAAAAACTCTCATATGGTCCACGTAAGTCAAGTGGCAACTGAGCTGGCACTCTGACCTGTGGCTGCATATGCCATCCCTCTATGAAAACAAAAACTCCTGTGGACACAGCCAGTCTTAAACTATTCCCATATGCCTGATGACATCAACATCAAGTCCCAAATATGAACCTGATATAAATCATATGCTTCTCCTGACATCCTTAGGTTATGCCCTGTATAGTGAGTGACTGAGGCTCTAACTGATACTGACTCACTGACACTGCACATGTGGCTTAACCAAACCACTGTAATGGTGATCAAAATCAAATTTGATGGTAATCCAAATAAAATTTTACAAAAAATCCTGGAGTGACCTGAGCCCCTTCAAGTAATATGTTAGTATGTGAAGAAGAATGGGCCAGGAAATGTCTTTCCATTGGGCTTTAATTTTTCACATGGGAACAGGGTGGGGGATGGGTTGTAATTATTGGCAATGACACCAAAAGGGAGAGGAAAATCTAACCTGTGCACAGGTTCTAATGGTTAACAAAGTGCCTTAGACTGCATCCCAGCTATCTGAAATGAGATTACTTGGTCCCCCCTCCACCCTCAGACTTATTTACAGGTGGCTGAATCCAGGACCCTAGGGGGCATGGTTGAGGTAAACTGTAGATTGGCTTCATCCTCCTGCTTAGAGGCCCATTGATAACAGCCTTAATTAACTGCTGTATCAGACAAACTGAACAGATTTGGTCCCTGCCTCTGTCAGCCCAGGTAATCAGAGTAGCCAATGGAGTTGCATATTCATGTGAAAATTTGCTAGAAGCGAAGACAGTGTAGGATGGAGGGGTGAGAGAGAGTGTTGGATCTCATGTACATCTACACATCTTTCTGGGTATGCCAAGAATGCAAGGCCCTGACTGCATTCCACCAGGACCATTTCTCAGGATTGTGTTTGTACAATAGCAAGCAACCTTGAGAGATGAGGTAATGTACTCCCTCCAGGAGAAAGAGTAGGTATGCTTACTGCATGCTATAAACATTAGATTCCCCAAACTTGTTATTCCTTTGCTTTGGTACAACCTACTCTGTGTGCAGTTATTCATTTGAGCCCATGGGGTCACCTTGTGGGACTTGTGGGGCAATGGAAACTGCCTCCAACATGCTGATATTCGTCCTGATTCCTGTAATAAAGTTAAAATCTTTTGTCTCTAACCCAGGAGTCTCATATCTTCTGCCAGTAGTCAAGAAACAATAACAGGCTCATTTATTAATTTCCAAGTAAGGAAGACCTGATAGTTTGTTTTCTTGCTTGCTTTCTGATACCCTCTCCACTTTCTTCTCAGTGTTACTAGGAAAACATCGTATCACTTGTTGGCCAGATAAATGAACCATTTTCAGACTGTATAAAACTTTTCTGCCTTCCAACTGGAAACCAAATTATGTTTTAAGCCTAGCTAATAAACTTTGATTACGCCGCAACCTAGCATCTCAACAGTACAAAATAAAGTCTTTAGGAAACTCAATCTCTTCTCACAAGACAACCCCAGACCTAATTCCTGGAACCCTTGTCACCATCTCTGGACACCAAGTTATCTCTGCTCTACAGGTTGAAGGTACCCATCGCCTCTGCTGATGCCTTAAAACCCTGCAGATTAGGAACTCAGGCCTTGGGAAATTCTGTACCAAGAATTCCAATATTTCTTTGTAAAGTTCAAAGCACCTTTAAAAACCACTATTTGAAAGCCTGGTGAGACACTCCAGTATAACCTGAAAGACAAGAGGACTGCTTCCTCAAATTCTAAGAACCTCACTGCCCTCAGACAGAGATCACACTTTGCCGGAAGCCCAACCACCTGAAACCTCGATTTCCCCTCCACTGGGCCCCCGCCCCGCCTCCAGTGAACCCCACCCCCTCCGTGCCTTCGGGCCAATCAGAGGGCGGCGTCTCTCCCTCCCGGTTGCCATGGTGCCCGCCCAGTCCCTCCCGTCACTCACCAGATGTGCCGCGGCTCTTCCAGACGGTGGAAGCGGGTGGCGAAGGACAGCAGCGTCACCAGGGCCAGCAGGGCCCACCGGCCGGCCGCCTCGAGGCGCTGCGAGCTTACAGCAGACCGTTTGGGGCTTGGCGCTGCAGCCTCAGCGGCCACGTCCCGGCTCGCGGGCCTAGCCGTCTGGGGCCCACAGCGGCCCCTCCGGGCACGCAGCTCGGACCCTGTCAGGCCTCCGCCCGTGGCCGGCGGCATCCTCCCCCTCCTCAGGATCACCCTCCGGGCCCGAAGCACACTTGGTCTCGTCAGCCGCCCCGCCAAGAAGTCACAAAAGGGCTGCTCGGAGTGCCCTGGGAAATGTAGTTCCCTCCGCCGGCAGCGGGGCGCGGAGCCCCGGCCGCGGGGCGGGGCGGGCAGCGTGGTGGCCGCTAGGAGGCGGCCGGTGGCGCAGAGCATGGCGGGACCGGGAGGGCAGGAGGCCCGGAGGCCGGGCGGGACAGGGGCGGGCTCAGAGGACTGCAACTCCCAGCAGCGCCGGGCGGCGGGGCGTGGCGGGAGGGCTGGGCCGGCCGGAAGCGACGGGGAAGATCATTGTAACCCAGTCGCTTTACCCGGACAGTCGAGGGTGTGTCTTGTCGGGGTGTGGCTGGGCCTCAGTCGTCGACGGGCCGGCGAGTCTCAGGAGCGAAGTGCGAGATGCAAGTGGGGAAGGTCTGTGCCACGCATCCGGGAGAGGGAAGCTAGTTACAAACACTGAGAAGTCGGGGGGGCGGGGTCAAAGGTGAGCCGCTTCGCCCCGCCCACAGCGCCGACAACGACTCCCAGTGTGCAATGCGCTGGCCAGGGACGCTCTGCGTCTGCGCATTGCCTGCTGGTGCCTGTGGTCCGGGCTGGGTTGGGCGGGAGGAGGCTGGTGGTGGAGCGTGCTGGGTAGGGCCCAGTTTGTACCCCGGGTTGGGCTGCACTTTTGGCTCCGCCCTCTCTGTTCCCGCTACACAGACCTCTCTGTGGGCTTCCAAACGTCGCTTGTCGCCTCCCAGTTCCCCACAGCCCTACGTGCTGCTCTTTGGCCAGTCGGTCCTAAGCAGGGATGGCCTTCCAAGAGATGCTCGCGTTTTAAGAGAGCACCAGGGGCGAGGAGAGCAGTCATTGCAATTACCTGGGGAGCTTCCTGGCTCTAACATGCACTTCCCAGGGTCCGTCTCAGAGCCACTGTGTTAACTTCTGGTGGAACAGCCCAAGAATCTGCACGCTTTTATAAGCGGCCCACATGAGTCTTACGCACACTTTGAAGTTTGAGGACCGCTGATGTAGCACTAAGAAAGGTGGCACATCAGGTGGGACCTTGTGTCACGTTAATAATGTGTAACCCACTTCCAAATGGGATTTTAGGAGTCTTTTTCTAAAATTACGTGTAGGAGACTGTTTAACACATTAACTGTCCTGTGAGTTGTATTTAACTCAAGCTAGTTTTGAGCCCCGGGCCTCGTGAAGCATATGTAACTCTCACAGCTTTTCACCTTGGGAGCCAGAACTATTTTTCAAGTTGCTTATAATTCGTGCACAGAAAACAAGAAATGACAGCTTTTATCATTAAATGAGAATTGTTTTGTTTTTTAAGTTTCTATTCTATTTTTGTAATAAAACACTGTGGCTCCAAGGAAAAAATTTTTTCCAGTGTGGCAGTCAGTGTGTTAAAAATAATATCAAGACCTGGCACTGTGGCTCAAGCCTATAATCGTAGCACGCTGGGGGACCAAGGCAAAAGGATTGTTTGAAGTCAGGAGTTTGATACCACCCTAAACAAAAGCAAGATCCCATCTCTACTAAAAATAGAGAAACATATCTGGGTGTGGTGTTTTGGGTCTGTAGTCCCAGCTACTCTAGGGGCTGAGGCAGGAGGATAACTTCAGCCCAGGAGTTTGAGGTTGCAGTGAGCTATGATGACAACACTGCACTCTACCTGGGGTGACACAGCGATACTCTGTCTCAAAGAAGAAAAAATAGAATAAAATCAACTCAAGTAATCAGAATGCATAGTTGAATTGGAAAAAGAATTCTTCCAGGAGTACTGATGAGATGGATACTTGGGCTTAAAATTTAGCTCTACAAGTGCAAAAAGGAACAGAGGAGAGTTTCTGTAATTATCACTGGTAAGAGAAAGAGCAGACATTGTGTAAGAGATTTCAGGTTTCCTACTTAAGGGCCATTATGGAGAGCAATGGCATTTACCATGCCTCTGGTCACCCTCAGTACAGGTCAGGGGTGTAGCATTTAGTCATTAGGTAAGGCATTTCTTCAGGGATTCTAAGCTAATGTCTGCCGCTCTCTAGTGGTCTGTCCTCACCAGCAGTTCCTGTCTCTTGGCCCCAAGGGCCCCACCAGCCTGCCTCAGTAAGGAAAGGGATACATCTCCAAATAAGGAATATCCAGTTGTGGCCACCCAACCTCTCCTCTTCAAAGGACGCTTGCCACCTATTGCCTAATATCTGTGCCAGGACCATATTTGCTTTCTCCATAAAAGATGCCTTCAGGGACAGTCTGGGACTCCTAGGCTTGGGAACCACCTTGGGAGCGCCTGGGTTTCCACTTGTGTCCTTGCCCACCTAGAGGACTAAGTTATTAGTGCAGTGATAGTGAAAGCAGGTTCAGAAAGTAACTTGGGGTGCAGTGAAGGGTGACAGGTAGCAGAGGGAACTTCAGTGAAATGCCTGTAGTTGGAAGAGTAGTAGACAGGGGTGATCTGAGAAATCCTATCAGTTTCTCCCTCATGGATGGATACTGTCTGTGGGAAGATTCATGAGTGCTAATCACTGGCCACTTTTCCTGGGTCCTGTTTTGAAATGCTGGTTACCCAAGACGTACCAGAGAAATTAATTTTGTGTCTTTTAAAATTTAGAGGAGAAGTCACATACTCAGCTGCCTCTAGGGGCTTGAAGGTAACAAAAATGAGAAAAGTGGGCCAGGTGTGGGTGATTGCAGACCAGAGAAGGCATACCCTCACTGATAGGGGCCATTAATCTGCTCCAGTCAATTGCTGCTACTTAAGATCCACTGTCTCCAGATTTTTTAAAGAAAAAACAAGCCAGGTGTGCACACATCTGTAGTCCCAGCTACATTGTGTAAGAGATTTCAGGTTTCCTACTTAAGGGGAGGCTGAGGCAGGAGGATCACTTGAGCCCAGGAGTCTGAGGTTACAGTGAGCTATGATCATACCACTGCACTCTAGCCTGGATGACAGAGCAGGAGACTTCATTTCTTAGGGAAAAAAAGAGAAAATAGACAACAGAATATATATATGAAAGGCCCTGATTTATAAACATTGGTTACTAATTGAAACATTTTAAACTTCCATGTAGACCACATAGAACACTTCTGAGGGCCAGATAGCATCCCTGTGGGCTGCCAGATTGCAACCTCACCTTTGGGGTGAATGGGCACATCTGCCAGCTATTTTTACATGACTGGCTGAGAGCCTGGAGGATGATAGGTGGGGTTGGGGTTGGGATTGAAGGGGATGAGCACCAAAGCATCAAAAAGTTGGAATTTCTAGTCTTTCTGCCACTGCTGGAAGGAATCTATGCCATCATAGAACTGAAGACTAGAGAAGGCAGAGATTTATCCGAGGTCATGCAGAGCTGGTTCCTGCACTGGGTCCAGACCCCATGTATGCCAGCTGCCAGCCCGCTCTATCACACAAACTATGTCTCAAAACCAGGCCTGGGCCACACTGTCTGCCCAGGACACCAAACCTGGCTCCACCAGGAGCATAAGAAACTTCCCAGAAGTTGGAAAGAGATGCCCTTTCTACTCAAGTGTCAAAGTTCCCCTGACGCCTGTCCAGCCCAGATTCCCCATTGGCTCATGGGATCCACCCCTTCAGGCTTCCTTCCCCTTCCTGCAGCTCTGTGAGAGGGGACATTCCCTGGGAGGTCAAGGGCCACCACAGAACCATGACTGAGTCTGGCAAGGTAAGGAAGGCATTTGTGGGCTAACTGCCCCTTTGGGGACCCCTCAGACCTCAGGAACTCATGCCAGCACAATTTGGAGTCCAGGGACCTCACATGACTCCCAGGAGAGTCTGGCCTGCGTTGCTGAGACGCTGGTCTGAGGAAGGAGGTCTGGCGGAATGGGGAGAAACATGTTGGCTCAGAGCCCCTTGCCTGGGGGCTGGCTCTTCCTCTCTAGAGGGCTCCTGAGGCTGGGAGCCCATCCAGCATGGATTAATGTGTCCCTTTGTGCTCTCTCCTTAGCCCATCCTCTATTCCTATTTCCGAAGCTCCTGCTCATGGAGAGTTCGAATTGGTAAGAGCTGTGCCTCCACCCAGCTGGGTGCCTGGGTGGGTGGGATGGCGTGGAGAAGGCCCAGGTGCAAAGCTGGCCTGGGTTGGAAAGGGTGCTGTGTCAGACAGGGCTCCCCTCCAGCAACCCCTGTCTCCTGGAGCCCCAATCCCTGAATGGCACTTCCACCCAGGCAGTGGGGGTGGGAGGAAGGAGGTGGTTTTTTCTCTTGGGACTGCCACTTCACCCAACACTGCTCTCCAAAACCCTTGGCAACCATGCTTGAAGCAGCGTCACAAAATCCAGAGGTCCCTGGTAACTGGCAGGGGAACAGCTGGCCTCCCTCAGTTCTTATCTTATTTGCTCTGGCAAATTAAACAGAACTGAGCAGTGTCCACCTCAGAGGCTTTGGGGAAACAGAAACTAGGGCCCTCTGGTTTAGTCCCTGTTTGACCCTTCCCTCTCTCAGCTTAACACAGCCCTTGGCAAAGGACACAGTCGTAGCAGCTCAAACTGAGGAGTTGCTCGAACTGAGTGCTTTGGTGTGCATGATTCCACCTCGACAGCCCTATGAGGGAGAGACTACTACCATTCTCATTGTACAGATGAGGAAACTGAGGCACAGGGAGGTTAAATAACTTGCCCAAGATTGTGCAGCTACTAAGAAGCAGAGCTGGAATTTGAACTTCACAGTCTGGCTCCAGGGTCCATGTTTTTAATTACTACACTATGCTGCTTTGTTAGATGAGGAAACTGAGGCACAGAGGCCCATTAAGGTACTTGCCTGAGGCCACACAGCTAGCAAATGAATGTGATGGAATTTGAACCCAGGTAGCCTGCCTCCAGAGCTGGACCCTAACTGCAGAGCCATCCTCTGTGACCCTCCCCCAGCCACTTGGTGTCTGCTGTGGAGGCAGTAGCAGGAGCCTGGGGTGCCAGGAGAAACCTTCCTCCCCATCCCAGGCCCCAGAGCCTCTGCCCTGGCTTAGTGCTGTCTGTGCGGTGCTGTTTGTGTGCTTTGGCCTCTCCCAGTCAGCCCAACCACCTTCTCTTCCGAGTGGAGCTGACCAGCACGGGGAAGAGCCTGACATCTCCCAGGCTCTCTTCACACTGCAACCCGTCTCGTCCTCCTCCCCTCGCCCCTTTGCCCCTGCCCGAGACTGGCCATCACCGTGTTTTAATTCCCAACGCGCACATGTACACACGCTCGCACACATGTGCAGTCTTCTCCACGAGGGTTGACCTAAGCGGTGTTCCCCTCAGCTTCCCAGGGGAGATTATTAAAGGGGATAGAGAGGAAATCTGGTCACGGAGGTCACAGCAAATGCTCCAAGACCACCGAGGAGCCCGATGCAGCCCTGGGATTTATAGTGAACAACTCTGAGAACAGAGGGAGTGGATTGGAAAGAAATTCTTCTCCAAACAGAAAAGGAGCATCATCTGCCTGTGTGTGCTCAAGGTCACCTGAGTGACCCTGGCTCTTAGATGCATTATTGAGGGAATAATTGCATGTTTCCAATGAAGACAGTCTTCTCACCATTGTTTTAGGCCCTAGAGGGTTCTGGAGGGGCAGAGGTGAGCAAGACACACCCCTGCTGTCCCCTAGGAGCCCACAGTGTGCCAGGCATATACCTTCCTAGCACCACATGAGGGCATGAGGGCTCTAAGAGTAAGGGGTGAGAGGCAGAGCACCTTGCACCTGGGGTGGGGGAATAGGTGGTGACAAGGAAGGCTGGAGAGAAGCAGAGCTTTAACCACACGGGGGTATTGAGAAACCTCCCCCTGTGCAGCCTCATGTCACCCTGAGAGGGCTCCTTCTTTGGGAGTGGAGACACAGGCTGTCCCCAACTCTGCTATCTGTGGTCTCTCCTAGCTCTGGCCTTGAAAGGCATTGACTATGAAATGATGCCCATCAACCTCGTAAAGGATGGGGGCCAACAGGTAAGGATGCTGTTCCCAGGCCATGATGTGGGAATTGGAGGCCTCAGAGACGTACCAGGTGTGTGGGTAGTCTGCCCCCAAGAAGTGAAGGTGTGTCCTGTGGTCCCTGTGACTGGAGGAAGCTGCTGGCTCTCCCTGTGGAACAAAGTGGCAAACTGTTCAGCAGCAGGAGCCATGGGAAGGACCCGGGCTCTGGGCTCTGTAGCACAGCCTGGACTGTCCAGTACCAAACCCCAGGAGGGTGGGTAGTGAGTGGGTCCTTGCCCCATGCTGGGCCCTCTGGCTGGCTGGGGTAGGAGCTGCCTTGGTGGCCACAGTGTGAGATGCAGGGAAGAGCACAAAGCCAGACCACTGGGATGAATGAAGCCTGTAGCTCGGCAGCTGCTGGGGTTTAGGCTGCTACATGCATTCCCCAGGGAAGGTTTCTGCTCTGGCCAGCCCAGGCCGGGCCACCCAGCCCACCGGGGCCTTGTCTCCACAGTTCTCCAAGGAATTCCAGGCACTGAATCCCATGAAGCAGGTGCCAGCCCTGAAGATTGATGGAATCACCATTGGCCAGTCAGTGAGTGCAGGGCCTGGATGGGTGGCCCTCCTTAGAGTGGTGCCCTAAATGAGAGCACCTGACGTGTCTTCCTGGCCTATGGGCCACCAGGGTGCCTTGTGCATAGGAGAGGCTTGATAGATACTTGTTAGGGTAGGGGAACACTCAAGCCCATGGGCAACCAAGCTCTGCAGGATGAGGTCCAGAAAGCTCTGCAGGGCTCCAGCTGTGGGTGTGGGGTGGAGTTTGCTCGCCCTGTCCTCCCTCGTCCAGGGGTCCTGAGCCCTCTCCCTGCCTCACTGCTCCCCTCTGGACAGCTGGCCATCATTGAGTACCTGGAGGAGACTCGTCCCACTCCGCGACTTCTGCCTCAGGACCCAAAGAAGAGAGCCAGCGTGCGAATGATTTCTGACCTCATCGCTGGTGGCATCCAGCCCCTGCAGGTGTGGCGCTCTCGCACTTGCACCCCCCACACTCTTACCTGCAGACGCACACTGGTGGTGGCAAGCCCACAGTGACATGTCCACAGTGGGGGCGGGGGTGGCAGGAGGGCAGTGAGGGATTCTCAGGGGCTTCGACCTATAGACCATGTGGCAGAAGGCGGCAGAGATCCCAGAAATCAGCCACCAGGTGGGCCCCCAACTGCATTCTGAGAAGCCCTAGGTTCCCAAGGATGCATCTAGAGGTGCTTGAGATGAGAAGAGGGTCAGGGTGGCAGGGGAGGGGCCTCCTGCCTCTAACCAGAGCAGCTTCCCTTTCTTCTGCTCTGTGTCATATATTGGGATTCTCATAAAATTTTACTTTAAGTTTTCACTGGCAAAACAATTAAGTGTAAAAACAATTCATGTGTGCTAACTCCTGACTTTGAGAATGAGGAAATAGCCCCAGGAAGATGGAGTGACTTTGCTGAGTCACACAGCTAAGTGGAAGCAGAGCAGGGACCAGGACTAGGAACCCTGTGCACCGGTGTCCCCCACCCCTGTGGCATCTTGTTTTTTTAACAAAGTTAGTTGGAGCAGACACACGTCTCCATTTTACAGGTGAGGAAGCTGAAGTCTGGAAGGAAAAGGGCTCCAGGGGTGCAGAGATAGAACCAGAGTTGAAATCTCTGAAAGCCCCTCCCACGCACCACTGCCCTCATTCCACCCCTGCCCTGTCTCATACTCCGCCGCCTGCCAAGGAACCAGGCAAGCGAGAAGTGCTGAGTGCAAGGGAATAGGCCTCAGGTTGTGGCTACACCTGTCACAGCCATGGCAGTGTACTGTGTCCCTGCTCTTGCACATCTCTGTCAGAATCACATGGCTTTCAGACTACAAGGGCCACTGGGGCAGCTGGGAAGGTAGCTTCAGGGATAGCTGCCTCCCTCCTGCCTCAGGGTCCTGATGGGAGGAAGCGGCTCTCAGAGGTGCACAGACTGGGATGAACTTCCCTGAGGGGGCTTGGCTAAAGGGCAGGCCCAGCCCAGCTTCCAAAGCAATCACAGATTTTCCTTGGGCTACACAGAACCTGTCTGTCCTGAAGCAAGTGGGACAGGAGAACCAGCTGACCTGGGCCCAGAATGCCATCACTTCTGGCTTTAACGGTGAGCCCCCACTCCTGCGAGCCGCCCCAAGATAACATGTCAGAGAAATGGCCCTTGTACCCCTAACCCGCCTCCCAGGCTGCTTTGGTCCTGACGGTAGCATGGGTGAGGGCAGTGGGCTGGGCCAGCGTCTAAACCTGGCCTTAAGCTCTGGCACTTGCGGGAAGCTCAGTACCTGAGGCCCACAGCCCTGCGGAGCCAGACGGCCCTCCTCTGCCACACCACCCATTTCAGCCAGGACGCCTGGCCAGCACAGTCTTATCCATGCTGGTGAGGGTGCAAGAGCTGCGCTTGAGGAGCCTGAGGAAACGCCAGCTCACCCCAGCAACTTTTCCCCAGACCTGGTGCCACATTCCCTCTGGCACCAGCCTGTTACCCAGACGGGCTCCCATTTCACAGCCATGGAGGCCGAGGCCCAGAAAGGCTGATGTCCCCTTTCTGTGCCCAATGATTCTACTCACATGGCCTCTCCACAGCTCTGGAGCGGATCCTGCAGAGCACTGCTGGCCGGTACTGTGTAGGAGATGAGGTAAGCCACCCAGCCTGCCCAGCCTGCCTCAGCTGTCCCTGCTCCCACTTACCTTCTGCCATCTCCCACCACCGTGGGGCAGGCAGGGCTCTGAGCTTCCTGAGGAGGATCCTCAGGAGGGGGCCATGGGGGGGACCTGTGTGCCAAGCAGAGCTGGCTCCTGGGGCGCTCTTCCGCTCACTCCCGTCAGACCACCTCGAGAGGGAGGGAGGGAGGGAGGTCCTCAGCTAGAAGACCGCGTCTCTGAGGTGACCAGGTGATCCAGGCATTGGTTGAGGGACTAGACGAGATGATGTCTCTCCTATAGGCTAAGGCCCTGGACCTGTGGTTCCAGGGTTCCATTCTGGTCCCCACCCCAGGTGTCTCCTCTCTGTTGGGGGTCCTTACTAAATGCCTGGTGACTGCAGTTTTTAACAAGCACAATAACATCCACCAAGGCAAACCTTCTCTGGCCACCCACAGAACTGGTTGTCAGGGCAACCGGAGCGTGGCCTGGAAGAAGCCCTTCTTCTCTGGGGGACAAACCCAGGCAGGCGAAGGGCAGACGAAGGAGGGGTGGGGCGGTGGGGAGGGGTGGAAGAGCCGAAGCAGATGGGAGCATCAGGGCCAGTCACCCCCAGTACAGTCACAGTGGACACACCTGGCCAGCCAATGACTCTGGGATGCTCACCCTGATGCAAACTCACCCAACCCTCTTTTAGGTGTCTATGGCTGATCTGTGTTTAGTGCCTCAAGTGGCAAATGCTGAAAGGTAAGAGAGCCCCACCAGCCTCCCCTGTCCTGCTTTCCACGACTGTGGAGTCAGGGCCCCTGCTTCAGCTACTAAAGTAGCATCTCATGCAGACGCTTCCCCGGCCAACCACTGAGCCCACTGTGCCAGGCCACACCAGCCACTTCAGCCTGAAAGAAATCAGTGCCATGCCCCCACCATGCCCAGTGCAGCCCAGGTGATCCTGTATAGACAGCTCCTGCTTCTAAGAGGAGGTGGCTCACCTGGTGGACCTCTAGGAGCACCTGCCGGCTGTCCCCACATGTGGTTTGTCTGTGCCTGGCAGTGAGCTCCACTTCTGCCTTCCTCCATCAGCCATGAATGAGTACCCCTCTGCGGAAGGCCTCTTGCTAGGCATTAGGGACATGGAAATGTGTTACACTTCCCTGCCCTCAAGAAGCTCATGACTTGAGGGAGGAGACACTCTGTATATATAAATGCCTAGCACTGGGCCTTACAATTAGTAGGTTCTCAATAAATAGCAGGAAGGAACAGTAGGTAACAGACGCCAAATGATAGTGCACAAGACCTGCCCATCCCAGAGAGCTACGTTTGAATAGGGCTCCCCTAGCAGGGCTGCCTTCCTTGTCCTTTCCTGGGTGGCCCCATGGACCTCCTCCAGCCCTGCCTGTCTATCCCCTCACTGCCCCTAGAGGAGTCTTCCTTTGTCCCTAAAAACCTTGGCTTAGAGGGTGTTTCTCTGCCACAGGTTCAAGGTGGATCTCACCCCCTACCCTACCATCAGTCGCATCAACAAGACGCTGCTGGCCTTGGAGGCCTTCCAAGTGTCTCACCCCTGCCGGCAGCCAGATACACCCGCTGAGCTGAGGGCCTAGCTTCAAACCTCTGTGCTCAGCATGGAAGCTCCAGAGATCCTTGGAGTCTATTATATTTCTGTGAGGCCTACTGTATTAGAGTGCTCCAGAGAAACAGGACTAGTAGGACATATACCAGGGGTGGGAGAGATTGAGTTATTATATGGAATTGCGAGGCAGGAACCAAATCTGCAGGTGGCAGATACAGGCCAGGACGGTGGTTCCTAGGGGCAGAGAAGCCGGGTGGGGAAAGAGACTGCAGGAAAATGCAACTAACACCCACAAAGAGCAGGAACTTGAGGTTTTGAGGCACACACACCTGTGGAGCTGCAACTTTGTCAGTCCTGTATATCAATCATCTGGTAGCATCCCACACCTCCTGTAAGCCCTCCCCCGGACCAGGCCAATAACAGGAAACTGCCTGGGAGTCCTCAACATCTTTCTCCACTCATGGAGACTGACCCGTTCCTCTTTGGAACATACTCTTGCTTTGTATAGCTCCCTTCTTTTCTACAATAAAAACTATTTGTGTGGAATTGCTTCCTGTCTGTGGTCACTCTGTCACATGGCCCTGCCTGTGAATTTTCCAAACAAGGAGCCAAAGAGCCAGGACAACAGTCCACCAGGAGGCCAGACTGGACAGAATTGGCTCACATGATTACAGAGGCTAAGAAGTCCCAGAGTCTGCCATCTGTAAACCAAAGACCCAGAAAAGCTAGTGGTGTGGTTCAGTCAAGTCCCCAGGGAAGCCAATGGTAGAAATTCTGATCCAAAGGCCAGAGAAAATAAAATGGCCCCACTCAAGCAGTGAGGCAGGAAAACAAGGGGCAGATTCTTCCTTCCTCCACCTTTTGTTCTATTCAGGCCCTCAGTGGCCTGGATGGTGCCCACCCACATCAGGGAGGGAAGTCAGGTTACCAAGACCATGATCTCATCAGAAACAGCCTCACAGACTCATCCAGAATAATGTTGAATATGGGTACCCCGTGGCCCTGTCAGGTTGACACATGAAATTAACCATCACACCTTCCTCCCTCATCTTGTTTGCACCCAAACCCAGACACACCTGTTCTTCCCCACAAAAACAGAAATGTGTCCAAGCTAAAGAAATTCTCTCGACTCCTTTGAGGTGACTCACCTGGAAAGTGCTGGGCTCTTGTGGGGATCCATCCATTTGTGCACTACCCAGAGAACATCTGGTTCTCAGCTACATTGGCTTTAGAACAATAGTCCATCTCCTTATGATGCCTTTGCAAAAGAGATTTTTGTATTTTAAAGCTAGAACTTATGACATGGCAGCTTTCCACGTGGTCTGTAGCAATACAAACCGGTCCCGAGTCCAGGCTGGGAACCATTCTTGCCTCCCTCTTCACCCAGAACCAAGGAGAGAGCCTCAGCTCTCCAGGGCCTACAACAGCTTTTCTGGTGTCTCCTCCAGGCTTTGGAGACTGAGGCTGTCTCCAAAGGGAGAGAGGGCAGCTGGGGAAATGAAATTGGGAGGGCTGCAGAAAAGGCAGGCCCCAAGAAGCCACCATTCAGGATCAACTGAGGGATGGAAAAAGAATGAGCTTAGGGCAGGCAGTGGGTGAGAGAGGTCCTGGCCTCACTGGGTGGCCACAGCTCACAAGAGAGGAGGAACAGTCTCTCTGGTCCCTAGGCCTGCAGTTTTGAGTCAGAGTGAGGCTGTCGTGTGTTTCCAGCCCTGAGCCTCCATAGACTCCAGGTCATCAACGTGGTCAGCTTCCCTGCTGCTGTTCAGGAATGTGGAGACCTGAGATTTTCCAAGTTTCAGCTCCACCACACAGGGAGCCCTCCTCCAGGGACCTCAGGTTAGCTACATGGGAGAGAGGATAACCCCCTTCTCTATTCTCAGAGGAACTTAGCTGTGGGCCAGGAGTAAGAGAATAGAGCACTTCTAAACCATCTTCCCAGCATGAGAACAGAATTCCCTCAAGCTCCTCTAGGGCTGGGCTCCTGACCTACCTCCATTATTCCAGTACCATGCAATCTGACCAGCCTTGCTCCATAAATGTGTGTTAAATTGAAAGACGTCCTTGTACAACTGTGGCTGGCTACCTTCTTCCACCCTTCCCTGAATGTCTGTCTCCTATCCTCCTCTAACTCCTCTTTTGGGGGCCCTAGAAGATCATGAAGGAGCAAATACTTCCCTAGGTGCATAGACTTTTCTTTAGAGGTCAGATAAAATGGCTCCAAGGCTTAGTGACGATTAAGCTTCTATAAAGGGTTTTGAAAACTACCTACTCTGCAACTTCCTCAAGTCTGCAAATAAATTCTTATCTTCAGGGATCAGATGTATCTCCCAATCCAAGAAAGTCTTGGGCTGCTATAACAAAGTACCTGAGACTGGGTAGTTTGTAAAAAACAAATATTTATTTTCTCACAGTTCTGGAGGCTGGGAAGCCCAAGGTCAAGGCAGCAGCTGGTTCAGTGTCTGGTGAGGACCCAATCTCTGTTTCCAAGATGGTGGCTTGAACGCTGTGTCCTCATGAGGCAAAAGGGATGGGAGGGCAAAAAAAAGCTAGTCCTTTTATAAGGCGCTAACCTATTCACAAGGGCAGAGTTCATGGTCTAATTACCCCCTAAAGGCCCCAGACCTTAATACTATTGCATGGAGGATTAAGTTTCAACATGAATTTTGGAGGAGACATAAACATTCAAACCATAAGAAAGACCATCATCTTTTGGGGGGGACATTTTCCAGTAGGGGCTTCTCTCAAAAAGTCAAGTCCTTGTTTCTGCTTCAGTTGTCAGACCTGTGAAAGACAACCAGCAGACACCTGATCCTGATATGCTGTCTGCCTAGTGTGGGAGTGGCTGGACACTGGTAATTAGATTCGAAAGGTCTTCCAGCTCTATGCTTCAGAAGGAGGAAAGCAGGAGGGAGCCGCTGCAAGGAAATATTTTAACAACAAAGCAAAAAATACAGGATTTTATTTCAAAAAAATTTTACATGTCCATGAAGGAAAGTGGCATACTTATTGGGTAAGTGGGTAAATATACATATTTATAGGATAAACACTCATTGGCTCTTCCTCTTTTTTTGTTTTTTAGAGACAGGATCTTGCTATGTTGCCCTGGCTGGTCTTAAACTCCTGGGCTCAAGGGAACTTCCTGCCTCAGTCTCCTGAGTAGCTGGGAATACAGGCATATGCCACCACATCCAGCTCTAAATTTTAAACATAATTTATTTAGCTTTTAATTCCAAGGTCACAGCAAGCATCATTGTACCTTGGGAGAATACTCAGAACTAAGCTGCTGAGTTTAAGCCAGGACTACACGTGTTAAAGAACATCAAAGTTGAATTTCAAGAGCTGCAATTTGGGAGATGTCTTATATAATCCTGAGCTATGTCAAGGTCAATGATACAACAGATATGAGTGCTTTGGGAAGTTAAAAAATAATCTTAAATATATTATGCGCTAGCAGTGACATACTATATTCAGCATACCCAAACATGAATCATTAATGATCCCTAGCTACATGTAGTCTGCCTGGGCGTTTTATTGTTAGCTGTGGTGTAGTTTAGCGGGCAGATTACATTAATTTAACTTACAATTATTTCAGATCCCTTCCTCCTTTATACTTCAGGCCCTAAAATATGTTACAAAGGAAAGCAGAGAATGATTTAACAGACTTATCTTATTTCTTTTTCCACCCACCGCTAATGTTGCCAGTAACAGGCTTATCTTAGAATCACAGATATCACTGAAGACAATATTTAAATGGCACCCCTCCCTACTCAGATATAAGTCCTTCTCATTCTATAGCAGACACCAGGCGTGTGGAGAGGCAGTGTTTTAAAAGATGTCAAAGATAGGTTATGGTGTCATTTTTGTAAATGAAAATAAGCTCAATTAATAACACTTAGATTACGTTAATGATTAGTCTGGTATCCAAAGTACTTGTTCCAAATTGGAACAGAAGTATGTTCATGGCAAAGTGAGCATTCCTGGGGACCAAATACTGACATAAAACTCAATGTTCTGTTTATTAATCATCACTATAAACCCAGCTCCCTGTTCATAATATTCCGCATGAATTTAAATGCAGATGAAAGATTATTAATCTTATTCTTAACTTTTTCTTAATTTCAAATGTCTCTTAATTTTTATGATTCTAATCAATTATAACTTAAACGTATTTATTGAATACTTTCAAGATGAAGAGGAGAGATAAAAGACAAAGAATTTGAAATGTAAATCAGTTTCATTAAGATATAACTCAGTTGTTCCAGGTGCATAGTGAAAAAGTTTATTTATGACAGATTTCAAAACTTGGAAGAGAAGACAAAGAATGCACAAAAGCATCACAAAACTGTTACATAATATAAAAACACAAGAACTGAGCTATTTAAAGAACCATAGCTCAGGATCATCAGTGTACCACAGCAACACGTTCAGTGCCACAAGGTGATTTTAAAATATGGTATTTTAAAAGAAAACCACTCAGCAGGACATAAAATTAAGTAACAATTTGGTACAGAGCTCTTTAACTTAGAAATCCTAGGAGATGAGACATCAACCGTATTTCTCATGATAGGGAAACATGTAAAACAAGATGACTATAATAAATGATTAGCTGGAATATGTTTGTATTTTAAAGACAAAGACAAAACAGTGACACAGTTTCCCTTCTAGACCCCTTTTTGTAATGTCAGCATCAGTGCATAATATAGAACAGTAAGTAAAGAATGTCTTCATAGTTGCCAACTGCTTAAATATTTACCAAGAAAACATGATCATCTTTCAGACAACTGATTGATCTGAATGCATGGCACCAAAGAAGGCCCTTCAGAAATATAAGCTAACTGGCATAAAATAGTTTAGGAAATCTTCAAGCACCTCCTTCTATTCCAATTATCCTTACCCAAAGTCTAGTTTTCTTATAGCCCATCACTTGGATTACAAAGCAGCTTTCTTCTGGGATTTTCAAAACACTTCCCATTATTTATTTATTCATTTAATCAGTTATTTATTCTTAGAGACAGTTTTTCACTACGTTGCATAGGCTAGCCTAGAAATCCTGGGCTCAAGCGATCCTTCCACTTCAGTCTCCCAAGTGGCTGGGACCATAGGCGCACACCACCTTGCCTGGCTCACTTCCTATTATCATTAAGGGAAAATGGGTATACCAGAGTCATGGGTTATAGGATTGCTTTCTCCAGACTTTACTTGCTCTTTAACATGGCTAAATGGAAATAATTGAGCTTAATTAAATGAAAGCTAATTCACTTATGGGATAATAATCTCAGAATTAGACATGAATAGAGTTTTTAATATGGAATTTCTTAGTAAAATGTACTGTTTAGGACATGACAGAAGGAATTAAGATAATGTTTTCCAGATTATTCTTGGCCTGAACCTAAGAAGCAGCGGTAACAATCAATAGCAAAGAACTTTACAAACTAGGCTTTTCAACCCTGAGTGATGAAGACAGTTCAGGAAGAAAGCCACTTAAATTGCAAATTAAGGGCCCTTCAGGAATATTATATGCTGTAATATTTCAAACTAAAACTTTAGAATGGTTCATGACCATTTATCAGAATTTTAGAAAATACACTTTGTCCTCTGAAAGTCATTTCATATGTATTATTTTACTCCCAGATAAGCCAAAACTACCTGCTTAAAATAATAGAAAACCATGGAATTTAATAGAGAAGCATGTATCTCTATATTTCTAGGGCTTAGAATGAAAAAAAGCCATGACATTAATTCTGGACCACATGTCTGGTGCCTAAAAGAAATCAAGGTACATACAATGGAAATCAGATCAATTGTGACCTGGACTATAAATAATGTCCAAGCCAATGTCTTGCCTTTGGACTTAGATTGTGAGGAATGACTATTTGTAAATGAGCCCAATTATCCACAGGCTTTAAGCAATAAATTGTGTTTTCTTAGCTTAGAGACAAGGAATTCAAACAGGAGGGGCTTTGTGTGGCCTTCCTGGTTCAAGCAAGGACAATGCAACACTACAGAGGGAGCAGTGATTTCTGAGCAAAATTCCAGCTTTGCTCTCCTCTCCCCCAAACCTCCACCTCCACCCCTTAATTTTATTCTGTTTTCACTTCTTGCTATCAATTTAAAAAGGCAGTTCTCAAGTAGCACAGAATCGTTTAACTCATCCCTCCTTCCCCTCCCCTAAAACAATAGTCTTTTATGTAAATACTAGAGTCACTCAATTCTATACCTTAGAACCACAGACTCTGGGGTTAAAAGGTAACCTTTCACAGAGAAGTGGTCTTAAAAAATTAATATAAAAACAGACTTTAGGGTTTAGGGTTCACCTAATTCTCTCCAAGAAGGACTGGGTAGGGCTCTTCAAAAACTTAAACTCAGGTATTTTCTATAGGTTATATATTTTATGATAATATCTAATACCACTGATTAATATAAGACAGATTTCAGATTTAACTCTTCTATACACATAATGGGACGATATATACTTTCTTAAAAGTCTGAGTTTTTCTTTCCTAAATAACAGACAAAAATATTTTTTAAAGTGCATGAATTAATTCATTAAGAAAAAGTAACTATGAATGGTCTAATTTCAAGTTGTTTCCTACTTCTATTATAAAGCTTCATGTTATATGAGGATTGAGTTTTAAATTCATAGTCCTGAGGATGAGTCATAAAGCAAGAGATTAGAATAGAGTCCTTCCACAGCAGCTTCACAACTGCCCTCACATTGACATACCAGTTAGAGAGGAAAGTAGCAGAAATCACAGCCTGAGAGAAGAGGGAAATACACCATGAGTTTTGAATGGATACCAAAAAACCTTTTTATGAAGACCACTTCCTCGGTAACCCACATAGAATGAAACAGGTCTGTTGAAAATAAGGGGCTCTCTGACATAGGAGTGCTGATATTGTCTGTGTAGGGAACATTCTCTAATTAGACACTTGTCAAAAGGAACAGAATGCTAGCATCATCTTTGTTTAAACACTGGCAGTTTATAATTTTAAAATTGATGTGGGGTGGGTGTGTGTTTACACTTCTTTTTAAGTTTTCTGTTTGCTGAAACATTTTCACCATAAAACACTGGAAAAAAACACTTCCTTCCTAAAAGCCCTATCTCTCAACAAAATAGCAAAACTAAACAAATTGAAAAAACTGAAGAACTTGGCCATTCTGTATAGAGAATTCCAATCTCTCCCCTACAAATGCAGCACTTTCTTTCAATTGTTTGTTAATATTTTTTGTGCTCTAGAGAACAGGGTGAGGGTGAAAACAAATGCTTTTCATTTCATTGTTTGGTTCTATAAACTTGGACAGGGAGGGACTGAGGAAATGACCACCTCTTAGAATTTTCTGGGCTATGAGTTCTCAGTAATTACCTGTGCTTCAGTATAAGATTTTGCGCCTGAAGTTCAATTATTACAGAAATTTAATATGAGAATAGTGAATGAATGAGTGAAAATATCTTCATTTGGTTATTTTGTGATAATGGAACAAAGAAACCCTGACGGTTGGTATAAAACCAGTATGGAATGAAATGTAACCATACCCAGGACTTGAAAAATGACCAGACAATAACAGGCACACAGAGGCAAGGGGAACAAGTCTCTCGGGCTTCCCTGATGCAACAGAAGTAGGATTGCAAAGAAAATTTCATGGCAAAATTAAATGATAAATAATAAGTGAGTGTTATCCTTGGGAGTTTGCTATGTATGGCCTGACAGCTCCATTTTGAAAGAAAGTCAGAAGTTAATAATAAACAAGCCTTTAGCTGACTAGAAAATAGCTCAGTAGAAAATTATTTTACAAAGATTATATTCAATTAGCTAAGGCATGATCAACTTCAGTGATGAAAGGTCAGCCATCTGAGGGGATGATGCATGGCAAGTTTGCTTTTCCTTGCCTAAATAGACAGTCACTAAAATAATTTTTTACCAGGTATAGAAATTCTGGCCAGTGTAATCCTCTACAAAATGCATTTGCAAATATAAAATAATGGAGGTATGAAGCTGCTCAGAGAATGGGAACGCTATAGCAATCCACAACATCCTATCCTACTTAGGGCTTTGCTTCCAGGGGAATAGAAAGGACAGGATGTATTGCCCTTCATAGTTCGTGATGCAGATCCTACTGTAGACCTGCTGGGGGAGTCCTGTTCTTCAAGTTACTGATGCTGTGGGGAGGAAAGGCATGGTGTGAGGCATCAACACAATGAAGGAGTGAGCCAAAGGAAGAAGCATCATCCAGAAGGTGACTCCTCAGAGGAGATAAAGGACTTTGAAATCCTGGAATCACAGGATATCTCTGATTGGTCAGGCAATTCTTATACTCTCAATCCCCAGTGAATGGGCAGATCCCTCACAACTTAGAATTCCTCCCAGGGAATGCTGGGCTGCACCCTAAAGACAGGGGATATTGGCATCCCCCATCTCTGAAGGCACAGACTCCTCCCCAAGCATCACAGACTAACCTGCAGGAATGGAATGTTATCACTTCCCAAATTCTCCAAAAATTATCATCTTTAACTCCATAGAAGAGGTGCCTTCAGTGGCTCAGAACAGATGGGAAGCCTTCTGAGAAACAGATGGAAACTGTTTCAAAGGCAAAATGAAATGTGCTGAAAAAAATAAATAAATAAAAGTAATAAATAAATCTAATTATTCCTCAAAATCCAAAGGCAGTAACAGACTAAGGACTAAGAAACAAGAAGGGACAGATGACCACTGAAGTCCCGTCTCATTTCATTCTCCTTTCCATCTGAGGCCTGGCAGCTGGTGCTCTGGTGACCACTGGCTGCAGCACCACCTGCACTATGTGGCCCTCCTGGGCCTCAGGGTTAGAAGAATGGGAAAGGCTGTCACCAGGGAAATGCAAGCTTTGGTCAGTAAAGAACAAATACAATCAGCAGCAACAGTGAAGCTTCATTATCATCTTTCCTAAGGGCCTTTGAACATCAAAAGCTTTAACCCCTCAATGCAAGAAACCTAAATCCAGAAACTCTGGAAACCTGATTGGGTTTCACTGCATTTGGTTCCAAAGCAAAATTTCTAAATGACACTCCTACTCTAAAGACAAAAAAAAAAAAAGTGGTGGGAGTGTTTTTTAAAAAATCTTCTCTCACAAATGATACCCTTCCTTCTTTGATTATACAAAAAATTATTTAATTTAATAACACAACTTTCAAAGATGTAGGTTCTGAGATCAACTCAGTACCTAATTTCTACCCTATCTACTTTGACCACCAGTCCCCATGGGAAGGGAAACTAGCTCTTGGAACAGGAAGCAATAGAGGCAGTTTTTCTTCCCAGAAGATCTTAGGTTACATTGATCATCACTTTAGATTGCATGAAAGTTCTTGCTGTAATGGCAAAAACAAAGACTTAGGAAAGAGAAAAAAGGAGGAGTCTAACCATCAGGAATAATATCCCTCCAAAGGCAGTGAGGTCTCCCAGCCTATGCAGAGACCAAGAATAACCAGCAGGCAGGAATATGGCAGTGGTAAGAAGCTGGACAGAGCTTTCTCCATCCAAGAGACTGGGCTCCTTCATGGACAATGTGCTTTTCCCTCTTCTGGCACCTCAAAAAGTAAAGAGAGTAGGTACTATTAAATGCATCAGCAGTAAGAGCTCTGGGGAGGAGACAGCAGCAATCTGAATGATAAACCTTGTACCAAAACAAATCTGTTTTTAAAAGACAACACTCTACTTCCTTTTAGGCTTGTGCCTGATAGGTGCCTTCACAGAGGGATTTTGCTGGAGTCTGAAGCAAGAAGAGCGTGAGTCAGGGACCACAGAACAGGGGCACGACATCACCATCTGCAGAAGCCAAGAAGGGGAAAAAGCTACAAAGTAGGGTCATCAGGCATGTCAGACAGGCCATGAGGCTCAGGAGCCTCACGCTGAACTTTTAGCTCTCCTCCTAAACAAGAGGCACCAGCTGGCAGCCTGCTTCAGCCAGCAAATACAGCCTGCCCCCTGTCCCAGCAGTCCTTCAGCTAGTATAGTAGATGTGGAAGTAGAGAGTCTTGTTACGCAGCAGGGAGTAGGAGTTGTCGAACTTGAGCAGGTAGATGCCCTCACCAGGGTAGTCATGGCTGCCAGCCTGCACATCTCGGTGGCTGTCCCGCCGGTACACAGGCATGACCTCCCCATAGCGACACCGCAGGGAGCTCCTAGAGCCTCTCTCCACATCTCCAACTGGAACAGGTTCTGCATGAGCAAAATGACAGGGTGTTTGGATATGAGTTCAGAGACCGAATAAGTCTTACCTGAAGGTAAGAAGGACCAGGTAACCCAGTGGCTTTCACAACAGGGAGAAGCTGCTGCCCTCCTAAAGGCATCTGGAAATGTCTGGTGATCTTTGGGTCATCACAGTGACTGCTAGGGGATATTGGCATTTAGTACCCAAGGGTCCAAGAGTGCTAAAATCAGGATAATACCTACACAACAAAGAAATGCCAATAATGTCTCCACTGCGAAACAATGATTTAGCCTGATAGGAGCCTTCCTAGTTCCAGAAGCGTCTGGACATTTCTGAGGGGAGAAAGAGATATTTAGAAGGAAAGACCTTGACATCCTTTCATTCAATAGGTAAAAGGACTAGTTAACCGAAGTAGGAAATGCAGATAAACATGCTATATAGAGTGACCCTAACACTTCTACTAGGCTTCCTAAAAAGTAGCAAATCTCTTCTTTTCTAAACACCTGTAGATTTCCCTGAAGACTTGCTTTTCTTTCTTTCTTTTTTTGTTTTTTGTTTTTTTTTTAGAGACAGAGTCTCATTGTCACCCAGGCTACAGTGCAATGGTATCATCATAGTTCATTGCAACTTCAAATTTCTGGGCTCAAGCGACCCTCCTGCCTCAGCCTCCCAAGTAGCTGGAACTACAGGTGCATACCACCACACCCAGCTAAATTTTATTTCCTTCTTTTTTTTTTGAGACAGAGTCTTGCTTTGTTGCCCAGGCTAGAGTGCATTGGCATCATCATAGTTCTCTAAGCCTCTTACTTCCGGGCTCAAGCGACCCTCCTGCCTCAGCCTCCCGAGTAGTTCGGATTACAGGCATATGCCACCACTCCCAGCTAATTTTTCTCTTTTTCTGTAGAGATGGGGTCCTTGCTCTTGCTCAGGCTGGTCTTGAGTTCCTGGCTTCAAGCAATCCTCCTGCCATAAGCCTCCCAGAGTGCTAGGATTACAGGTGTGAGCCACCTCACCTGGCCCAGACTTGCTTTTCTATGAAGAAGCAAATTAAGGGATTGATTTTTATCTTATTTTATATTTAGAGACAGGGTCTTGCTCTGTCACCCAGGCTGGAGTGCAGTGGCACAATCATAGCTCACTGTAACCTCAAATTCCTGGGCTCAAATGATAAGGGATTGACCTTAAGATCATATAAAAAAATCAAGGAATAAAACCAATGCTTAGAACCTATTCTTACAGTACCCCAGAAAATGCCTCTGGGTCATCCCTGAGTAGACATCCTGAGTGTAACAACTGGAGTGAAACACAGAAAACACTTTTAAAACTGCTCTGGGCATAAAGTAAAGAAGTAACCAGTAGTCAGCCAGCTAAGACAGTTTAGAGTACGGAGAGAAAGTAGACCTTTAGCAAATTATAATCACTTGGTTTGGTTCCAGGCCAAGAATAAATATCCCAAAACTAAGAGAAAAATATAAGATAATCTGGGGTCCATATGCAATCTGAAAAACCCTACCACTCTATCCAGCAGGACTGACTCACCCTCTCCCTGCCCCTGCCCCATCCCTGTCCCCAAGATGTTGGGAAAACAATGACATACTGATTAAAGGAAAAGAAACTTTCAAATAAGGCATCAATACCAGCCCCACCAGAATGTTCTCTGAGGGTCTGACTTTGGCCTACACCACTCAACTGAGCTTATGATGCTGAATTCCTCACCCACAATGCTGCTAGATTCCTCAAAAGCATTCCAAGGAAGAGGATGACTAGTACAACCCAGGAAGTGGTCACCAGAAATTAGGTTGAGCCAAAAAAGAAAACTGTAAGTTATGTTTAACTTAAATTTACCTTCAATCTCCTCCTCCTCTTCCTCTTCTTCATCCTCATCCTCACTGGAATCACTGACCTGCACAGTTATGTCAGTGCTGGTTACCGGGGTCCAGTCAAAATAAACTCCAAAGCCAATGTCATAGTCATCAGTTGCAAACTCCCAGCAGACACGCTTCCCCTCTGGGTGGGTAGGTACCCGGATGGTTACCACCTCGCCCCGCTTCACCACCAATCGGCTGTTCTTCTCTTTGCCCAGCTTGCTTTTGAATTCTTTCACCTTGGAAAAGGTCCAGATGCATGGAGGAGCCATCAGAGGTGGTGAGACTGAAAAGACAGGCAGCTTACTACTGAGAAACCACAAGGAAATGCTGGCACACCTGCCATTTTGCTGGGGAGGATTACACAAAGACACTCTTTCTACTGGCTTCTCTGACTTCCTTTCACAAGTCATTTTCTTACATTCCTTCTGCTGCCTGTCTTTCTTTACATATCTATCGGAAACAAAAATTTCATGTTCTATTCTCCCAAAGGTCTCACCTTTCCTGTGGTCCCCCAGAAGATCTGCAGATTCCATATCAGCTGAAAGAACATCTACAGCTCCTGTATGGTCAGACTGGATCATCACAATGTCCCCAGACCGCTGTGGAACTTGATACTTGGCCATCTGAACAACAGAATTCTGGTTAAAGGACATATTATAGTGGCAGATTCCAATTAGCCCTTGTCCAAATGAAGACTGCCTCCCCATTCCCTGTTCTATCACCTCTGCTAGCCTAACTCAAAGCTTCACATGCTCACATGCTAGTCAATGTTCCTTGTCTTTCTTCCAAGTACAATTTGCTAATAAATTCTACTAATTTTTTTAATGATGCCAAAATGTTCCCTAGTTTAAAGATTCTTTCTTGTTCTTTCCTACCTTTAGCACTACAGACTAATTTCCTACTTTCAGACCTTTTATAAAATCCTGGTCCACAAAAGTACTCCCAGCTTGTTACTGCCTTTTCTGTCAGTGGTGTTTTGGGCCTTGCCCTACTTAGTCTCACTTCACCACACAGTACCTCCCCATGGCTCCTCTCATGTCAGCTCTTGCACCCGTGGTTTAGTTCAACTCCCACTCTGCCATACATCCTCCTGCTGCAATTCCCACTCAAGGGTTACTTCTACATCACTGTCAATTCTCCAAGGCACTGCAGAGAGAGAATCTGGTTTATAGTGTGTGTGTGTGTGTGTGTGTGTGTGTGTGTGTGTGTGTGTGTGTCTCCCTCTTCCTCTCTCATCCCTGGCCCACCTCAGGCCACCTCAGGCTACAGGTTGTCTCAGCCTCTATGTCACTAACAATGTTCTATAAATAATTGCAATTTCACCTTAGATTATCCCCAGGACTTGCATTTAAATAGTCCGTTTGCTGTCAGATGTACTTCCATGTCAGATCTGCATGGAAGAATACAAATGGCATTTGATACTCAAAGCCCCTGATAACCTATGCCGGAGCCTGCAATCTCTCCCTGGTGGGTGTCTCTTCAAATCACTCACATTAGTGTTCCTGGTTTCATGTTATTATGCCTTAATTTCCTGTCCCTTCTCCAAACAGTCGGCAGGCAACCAACAAGAAATCTATACCAACTGCCCACAGGGGAGAGCACATCAGTGAGTCAGCAATCCAATTAAGAGGTCGGAATTGTATTTTTGAGAAATAAATAAATAAAGTTTGTAATCCTTCCAGGCTGTATTTTCACAATATCTGTTTCTGAAGAATAAGCCTTCTAGTTCTTCTCATCTCTAGCACTAAATGAAGTGAATCAGACTTTGGCTACTGTGCTTAAATGAATCCTTTCTTTTCCACAATGCTAAACGAAGGATTTCGTGTGCAACTTATTAACTGCATAGCCTTAGTAAAGTCACTATTGGCTTGGTCTCAGTTTCCTCCTTGGTTAAATGGGGACACAATGATACCTATCTCACAAAGTTGTTTTTAAGAGTAAATAAAGTGCAGTGGATAAAAATGCTTGTAACTATAAACCATTATACAAACGTAGTTATAATGCTTGGTGTTGTCTTAATTGTTACTAATTATTAATTGTCACTAATACCAATTGTTATTATAATATATATGCTAATAATGATACAAACAAACTCTACCTCCCATACCTCCATGGCAGGGGGATCACTACTATTAATACCACTTCTACAAGATCTTTACCATTAATACTGAGTAGATCTACCATAAGAAAAGTAAGAGTAAAACACAGTCCAATGACTTCAGGCTCCTAACATCAAAAGAATTTTAGGGAACATGTAAACATTTATTCTAACACTTCATGTTTTGAATAGGTGCCTACTACTAGGTACTAGTAAAATGCTGGGCCCTGTGAGAGATACAAATAATCATTCTCAAAATAATTAAAAAGGAGATGCCCTAAAGGAAGCAAAGAGAGAATTCTGTGAGCCACACTCACAGTGCTTTCTAATTCCAATCCATCCATTACGTATCTACATTCTGGTGCCACAAACTCCTCCTTTTATAAGATGGCCAGAATGTGCTCCCTACCTCGTTGAGGACCTGGGCCTGGTCTGTAGGCAGCAAATCCTGTTCCACTAATGCCTGAGCTTCCAAGGCACCAGCTGCTTTCTGTAGGTCTTCCTTGGCATCCTTACTCACTGAAGATACCATCTGTGGCCTCTCAGAGGAAGAGATCATGTCAATTTTAGGGCTCTTTGAAAAGACGCAATTGTCCTAGAAAACTCTGAAATAAAACAACATTTAAAGGACACCCCCACCCTCTCCCTTCCACTTTAGCAGACCACTTCCCAGGGCTGAACTGGCCCACAGTGAAGCAGTGACAATGTCTAAGGGCACACAGACTGACAAAGCCAGATCCCAGGAATCTGAGAACCATGAAAAAAAACCACATAGCTCAGTCACCTTAGATGGACTACAGGTCTGGTTTTCTTTGTTGTGGTTGTTTCATTTATTTCAGTTGACAAACAAAAATTACATATATATATTTATGGTACACAATGTGCTGTTTTGTTATATGTATACATTGTGAAATGACTAAATTGAACTAATTAATATACCTATCCATCACTTCATATACTTATTTTCTTATGGTAAGAATGTTTAAAATCTACTCTTTTAGCAATTTTCAAGTACACAATATATTATTATTAACTATAGTCACCATGCCGTGCAAAGATCTGCAGAACTTATTCCTCCTAAATGAATCCTTGTACCATTTGACCAACATATCCCCATCCCACCCCCCACTGTTTACTTTCTGCTACTATGAGTTCTACTTTATTCCTCATTCTGATGCACATCATTTGCTCCACACCAGAATTTCAAAAGAAGTAGAGTTAGAATCCCAGTTATGATCTACTCACAAAACCACTACATAAAAGCAAAGGGAGGAGGCCTCAAAAGCCAGTGATTGATCACCAAAACAAAGGAAGTGCAAACTATCAGCAAGGCACTCCACTCTACAGTTATCCCAGGGGCAAAGTCTTTCAGCAGTGCCATTTCATACTCTATTCCAGTTTACTCATAGACCTACTCACTTTCTCTCTTTTATTTGGAGACAGAGTCTCACTCTGTTGCCCTGGCTAGAGTGCCATGGCGTTAGCCTAGCTCACAACAACCTCAAACTCCTGGGCTTAAGTAATCCTTCTGCCTCAGCCTCTCTAGTAGCTGGGACTACAGGCATGTACCACCATGCCCGGCTAATCTTTTCTATATATTTTTAGTTGTCCAGCTAATTTCTTTCTATTTTTGGTAGAGATAGGGTCTCACTCTTGCTTCAAGGAGGTCTGTTAAGTCCAAACCTTTTCATAATAATACTAAAATGTTATATCTCCCTCTTCTCATTCTTATTTTCTTAAGAGTGTGCAGTAGAATTTTCCAGAAACTATATGACATGTGATATCTTAATGGAATGAATCCAGAAGCAGAGATGAAAATCCAACTGTCTGTTATTAAGCCTGACATCAAAGAGATTTACCTTGTTTCTCTTCTCACTACACTATTTGCTTTGAAAATTAGTTCTTTTTAATTAAACACACATTATTTATACTAGCATGAAGTGAGTTCATTATTGTTTTTAAATGAATAACCATATTCTAATTTTTCAGTTTTAATTTCTAATATAGTAAATATTGATAGATATACTGTAGATATAACCCACATAAACAAAAATTCTTTGGAATCTTCAAAAATTTTTAGGCATGTAAAGGTTTGAGAATCCCTGCTTTAGAACATTGTTTCCTAAGAGAGGCTGAGTAAATCACTGGGAAGGTTCTATAAACCTCACAGGGGAAGCAGAAGGAGACTTTATTTTAGAGTTTACTAGTTTTTTTCTCTCCCTTTTTAAATATAAACAAGAAAAATCACTCCTAGTTTATAAATTACCTCTTCTTCAGAAAAAGCAGCCATCTTTTGGAATATCCAAATCACTCCAACCTAGCTCAGAACAAACAAGAGGTAATTATTATGAGAATTAGAGCTGTGGGATGCTGTTGATTTTTATATGTCACTTAGGTAATCCAGTGTAAACTGTGCATTGGTCTAGGCATGAGCCTATGATAATGCTCTTAAACCTAGAAACTACAGTTCATTTTTGTTTCTTGAGTGTTTATCATTTGTCTCCTCTGCTGGAAGTAAGCCTGGTGGCAGGGACTGGTTCTTACTCCCTCTGTATGCACAGCATCTGGAACCTAGCCTGTCGCATGGGACTCCAAACCCTTTGCTCTCTGATGTTGCTTTGAATCCCTGCTTTGCCCAGGTCACTCCAGCAACAATGGCCTCTTGAATCCTTGACAGTCCTCAAACATCCCAAGCACTCTTCCACCAACTAAGAGTCTTTGCACTTGCTTTAGCCTCTGCCTAGAATACTCTTCCCTAGTTAACTTATGGCTTCCTTCTCTCAGGTTTCTGCTGAGAGGTCCTAGAATACTCTTCCCTAAATAACTTATGTTTTCCTTCCCTCAGGTTTCTGCTGAGAGGTTTCCTAGAGATCCACAGATGAGGCTTCTTCAGAGACTTCATAGAAAATTAGTGTTACGAAAAAATATAGATGGATTTAAAAAATTTTTGTGCCAAAATAAACTCATACTCACTTGTTATGACATGTCTGAACAGGATCTAGTTTGAGGCATTAAGAAGGATAAGACATTGAAAACAGCCCCTATCAGAGCAATGTGAATTATGCTAAAATTGAAGCGAGAACAAATGTTAAATTTATGGTGACACTTGGGTGGAAGAATGGTGAAATCATTAATGTTTTATGAAAAGTTTATGAGGACAATGCCCTAAACAAATCAGTAGTTCACAAATGGATTACTCATTTTAAGAAGGGAGAAGATGATGCCTGCAGTGGCAAATCATCCACATCAATTTTCAAGGAAAAAATTAATTTTGTTTGTGTCCCAATTGAAGAGGACAGATGATTAACAGCAAAAATAATAGTCAACACCACAGACACCTCAACTAGTTTAGCTTACACAATACTGACTGAAAAATTAAAGTTGAGAAAACTTTCCACTCAATGGGTGTCAAAAACCATAGCACCCAGATCAGCTGCAGATAAGAGCAGAGCTTTCAATGGAAATTTTAAATAAGTGGGATCCAGATCCTGAAGCATTTCTTCAAAGAACTGTAACAGGAGATGGAGCATGGCTTTGTCAGTAAAATCCTGAAAACAAAGCACAATCAAAGCAATGGCTACCAAGAGGTGAAAGTGGTACAGTCAAAGCAAAAGTGAACTGGCCAAGAGCAAAGGTCAGGGCAATAGTTTTTTGGGATGCTCAAGGCATTTTCCTTGTTGACTTCTTGGAGGGCCGAAGAACAATAAAATCTGCTTATTATGACAGTGTTTTGACAAAGTTAACCAAAGCTTTAATGGATAAACAGCCAGGAAAGCTTCAACAGAGAGTCCTTCTCCACTACAACAGTGCTCCTGCACATTCCTCTCATCAAACAAGGGCAGTTTTATAAGAGTTTTCATGGGAAATCATTAGACGTCTACCTTATCCTGATTTGGCTCCTTCTGACTTTTGTTTCCTAATCTTAAGAAATCTATACAGAGCATCTATTTTTCTTCAGTTAATGACATAAAAAAGACTGCTTTGACATGGTTAAATTCCCAGGACCCTCAGTTCTTTAGGGATGGACTAAATGGCTGGTATCATCATTTATAAAAGTATCTTGAACTTGATGGACTTACGTTAAAAAATAAGGTTTATATTTTTATCTTTTAATTCCATTTTTTCCATGGACTTTTTGAAGTCCCCTCATATAAAATGGCTCACCCCTCCCTGGCCCTGTGACACTTTACACCCTGACCCAGCTTCATTGTTCTTCAGTGCATTTATTACTGCCTAACATGATAGCAATCATATTTTGATGATTTTAAGATGCACATTGGTTTTTAATTTTAACACAACTGTAAGATGGGAAGTCTTAAAAATTGATATCTTTTTTTTTTTTTTTTTTTTTTTTGAGACAGAGTCTCGCTTTGTTGCCCAGGCTAGAGTGAGTGCCGTGGCATCAGCCTAGCTCACAGCAACCTCAAACTCCTGGGCTCAAGCAATCCTCCTGCCTCAGCCTCCGAGTAGCTGGGACTATAGGCATGCGCCACCATACCCGGCTAATTTTTCTATATATATTAGTTGGCCAATTAATTTCTTTCTATTTATAGTAGAGATGGGGTCTCACTCTTGCTCAGGCTGGTTTCGAACTCCTGACCTCGAGCAATCCGCCCACCTCGGCCTCCCAGAGTGCTAGCATTACAGGCGTGAGCCACGGTGCCTGGCCAGGTACAAGCTTTTAAGTGAACCAGCTCTATGTGAGGGTCTCCTATTAGGCCCTCTCCTCTATCATAAGCACTTTTTCCTTTCTTCGTGGTACATAAAATAGCAGCACATCTTAAGTTGATGGCAACTTAAGATTCTAAAAAATACAATATATATTTGTTTTCTGTCTGCTTCCCCCACTAGAATGTAAGCTCCATGAGTGATTTAGACTGTTCATTTGTGGTATCTTCAGCACCTAGAACAGTACCAGATACATAGTAGACTCTCAACAAATGTCTATTGAATGAATAAATATTAAACACTTAAAAAAAGGAAAAAATAATAAAAAAAATAAAAATATATATATATATATTAGACAAGGTCTTGCTGTGTTGCCCAGCTAGAGTACAGTGGCATCATCACAGCTCACTGCAACCTCAAACTCCTGGGGTCAAGCAATCCTCCCGCTTCAGCCTCCCAAGTAGCTTGGATTATAGGTATGTGCCATTAAGCCTGACTAACAAAAATATTTTTTGAATGAATAAATGAATAAGTTCATTTTTATTGGAGAACAAAAGAGGAATTTTGGATAAGACTGAATCATTAACCTGACCTTACTGTGTGTAGCATCTAAAATTTAGTCTCTTTTTTGTCTTTGTTCATGCTAGTTTGAACAATAGTTCTTCTTATTAATAAAACTTTTAGGCCAGGCACGGTGGCTCATGCCTGTAATCCTAGCACTCTGGGAGGCCGAGGCGGGCGGATCATTATCATTTGATCTCAGGAGTTCAAGACAAGCCAGAGCAAGAGGGAGACCCTGTCTCTACTAAAAATAGAAAAAATAATTGGCCAACTAAAAATATATACAAATATATATATAGAAAATATATAGAAAGAATTAGCCGGGCATGGTGATGCATGCCTGTAGTCCCAGCTACTTGGGAGGCTGAGGCAGAAGGATTGCTTGAACCCAGGAGTTTGAGGTTGCTGTCAGCTAGGCTGACACCACAGCACTCTAGCCCAGGCAACAGAGTAAGACTCTGTCTCAAAAAAAATAAAAATAAAAATTTTAAACAGGATATACAACAGCCACATAAATTTAATATTCACATTAGCATTTTATGCTCTGGAGAATTGGAGAGAGTATTTTGGGAAAGATAAATTGCTAATCACTTGATGCCAGTGATAAGCCATGTAAAGGAAAAACTTCCACTTTAAGCTTCCTGGTTTGTGCTGACCTGGTGCAGGGAGGCCATCCTAAAGTGCAAGGAGAGCCTGGCCAGCTGGCCAACCTTACTGGAAAAGAGAGAAAGTTGTGTTGTTTCCATTTCCAATAGACACAAAACATAATAAGCACTAAGCTTCAAGGGTCACACTTGCTAGATTTTTTTCTTCACTCACTAGATTAAAAAAAAAAAAATCTTTGTCTAAGAATGTTCTGTGTTTCTCACTCAAAAAAGTTTATTTACTCTTAGGAGGATAAAACAATTCTGTGCCAAAACCTATCCCTCAAAGATCCTTCAGACAAACATGTACAGAAAAGGGATAGTAGGCCAGGCATGGTGGCTCACGCCTATAATCCTAGCATTCTGGGAGGCTGAGGTGGGAGGATTTGCTGGAGCTCAGGAGTTCGAGACCAGCCTGAGCAAGAGCAAGACCCCATCTCTACTATAAATAGAAAGAAATTAGCCAAACAACTAAAAGTAGAAAAAATTAGCCAGGCACAGTGGCGCGTGACTGTAGTCCTAGCTACCCAGGAGGCTGAGGCAGGAGGATTGCTTGAGCCCAGAAGTTTAAGGTTGCTGTGAGCTAGGCTGATGCCACGGCACTCTAGCCCAGGCAAGACAATGAGACTCTGTCTCAAAAAAAAATAAAAAGAAAGAAAAGGGATAGTGGTAGGAAGAATGGAAAGGAGTTCTCCTCAGGAGACTTGATAAGAATATGAAGTATCTCAAAGCCTTTTGCCTTCTAAAAGGATTGTTATAGATAATAACTTAGCAGCTCTAAGCACAGAACTCAAAACCTTCTATTGTTAGGTATAGGAATAAGCTATAGAGTGGAATAAACCTAAAGCTATGTGAACTTGAGCAAATTATTGAACTTACTTTCATTTTCCTCACCTTAAAAAGAAAAGTAGGTATACTTATTTTGTTAGGGTTGTTATGAAGATTAAATGAGATAATATATTTTAACATCTAGTAGAGTATTTAGCAACTAGAAATATCTGATAAAAGTAACTATTTCAAAAAAGAAAAAAGTAGCCCCAGCTACTTGGGAGGCTGAGATGGGAGAATTAGTTATGCCCAGGAGTTCAAGGCCAGCCTGGACAACATAACGAGACTTCATCTCAAAAACAAAACAAAACCCCCAAAAGTAGATTATTTATTATTATTACAGAGAAACAGTCAATAAAGAGTAGCTATTATATTATCATCAACCACATTATATTAATCATATGAATTATTTCACATATAAAAGTAAGAGAAAAAAAACTTCTAAATAAAACGCAAGAAATAAGAGATTTTAAAAAATACTTAAGGGGGTGGGGGGACATGGGCAATAAATGTAACCTTAACATTTGTATCCCCATAATATGCTGAAATAAAATAAAATAAAATACCTTGTCATCCCCCTCTAGCCCCAGCCATCAATTTTATATGGGTATGGAGACCACAAGTTCTATTGGACAAAACTGTACCATGAACTGATCAATTAGACTACAACATCCACTGGCTCAGTTCTCCAAAATACAGCTTTCATTAATTATTCCATTAATGTTTCCTGGTTTCCATTCATTCTAGGGCTCAGTACAACTCTTCCCTTTCTGTTATACACTCTGATCTCAATGATAGTGGGTGGATGAGATGGGCAGAGAAGGAAATTAAGAATGAAAACCTAAAGGTCATCATAATGGTTTAATCTGAAAAATTACATAATAAAAAACTGCCTCCAATTGTCTGTGTGACTGTGTGTATTTTATGTATAAAATCCAAATACATATTCTCTTGCAAGTCCACCTGGGATCTACTTCAAATGTTTTAACACTTGAATATGGTCTTTAGGAGAAGATAAATAAGGGCTCTACACTAAAACCATTTGTTACAGTTTTATTCTCTGAAAGTGAAAGAAAAATTTATAACCTGAAATAAATCTGATACTGCTACTAAACACACTTGAGGGTTGATTAGTGACAAAACTATCCATACCCTTTACTTCAACTTGTCTTCTCCCTTAAAGTCACTGCCTACTTCTTTAACCAATTCCTTATCTTAGAAGATAAAACTTCTGGAAGCATTTTATCCAAAGCAGTTGCCTGTCCCTACCTGTGAGGTGAGGAACACGGTTCTGGATCAGAGGCAGAGGCTGATGGAGAGGTGACCTTGGCATTTTCTAGATCTTCATTCTCTAGAAAAATCATAGAAAGAAAACAATTCAATATCTGAGACAGAACACAATCATAATTATCTTGTATCTCTAAAAAAAAAAAATCTAGCAGTTTCAATCAACTTCCTCTTTCTAAAAATATTCTGGGCATAAACTTTATACTCTAGGAGGCCCAGCACATAAATTATTCAAAGTCATCACATTCAAGTATTATCAATCATAACCCATTCTTAAAAAATAAGTCATTTTCTAAAACAAGTCCCCACAAAATTAACCCTGATTTAAGAATCACATTTCTCAGAAAGCAAATGGTTATTCTATGCAGAACAGAGAGGGCATAGTGGGATGTAGGATTAAATGAACTGAATTTAGTATCACCTCTGCATTCAATAAGCTCAGATCACTGCATCCAAGCTCAGGTAAAGGACTTTTATAATTTTTTTTTTTGAGACAGAGTCTCGCTTTGTTGCCCAGGCTAGAGTCAGCGCCATGGCGTCAGCCTGGCTCACAGCAACCTCAAACTCCTGGGCTCAAGTGATCCTCCTGCCTCAGCCTCCTGAGTAGCTGGGACTACAGGCATGCGCCACCATGCCCGGCTAATTTTTTCTATATATATTAGTTGGCCAATTAATTTCTTTTGATTTATAGTAAAGATGGGGTCTTGCTCTTGCTCAGGCTGGTTTCAAACTCCTGACCTCGAGCAATCCGCCCGCCTTGGCCTCCCAGAGTGCTAGGATTACAGGCGTGAGCCACCGTGCCCAGCCAACTTTTATAATTTGATTCATTTATTCATTCACTTATTCATCAATAATTAAATAACTAGGTGCCCTCAAAGAGTATACAGGTGAAATGCATAATAAAGGCCATGTGCCAGCTCACAAGAAGCCTAGGGCTGGCATTATAATTGCCACTTTGCAGGTATGGAAACTAAGGCACAGAGATAGGATTCAAACCCAGGTAGCTGTGCTCATAACCAGTAGGTGATAACTTAGTGGGTTTTTTTCTCTTACCAAGTTGTGATTTGAGGGTGATAGTTTATTCATTTAGCTTTTCCTTAAACACTCAAATGGCATATGGTTCAGTGCATTTAGGTAGCCCCTCATTTAATTCCCTTTAGTTAAAACAGCAAGAAGCTAAAGCTCCCATCCATTTCTCAATACAAAATACAACTTAATGATGTAAACCTCAAATGCTAGAAGTGTCAGAGTTTGGTAGCAAAATAAAAGTGAAAAGGACAGGTATGTATGTGTATCCAATCTTACTTAATCTAGCCTCACTTTTTGTATGTGAATAAGATCTGTTTTTCTTTAGGTTAATTCATAGGTGGAAAGAGCTTGGAGGCCAAGTGCAGTGGCTCATACTTGTAATCCTAGCACTTTGGGAGGCCAAGGTGGGAAGATCACTTGAGGTCTAGGAGTTTCAGACCAGCCTGGGCAAGAGCGAGAACCCATCTCTACAAAAAGTAGAAAAATTAGCTGGGCACAGTGGTGCATACCTGTAGTACCAGCTATTCGGGAGGCTGAGGCAGGATTGCTTGAGCCCAGGAGTTGGAGGTTGCAGTGAGCTATGATGGTGCCACTGGTAACAGAGCAAGACTCTATCTCGAAGAAAAAAAAAAAGACCTAAAGACCCTAGAGCTTCTGCCAATTTTCCTCCCAACAGAACTGTGTGTCAGACTCTCATCAGCTGTTTCTATCTCTACCCCATTTCACTTAGGGATAATGCAAATACAAAGTTCTCTCCTATGTTGACCTAAGTGAAATCTTCCTAATAAATTCTACTCTTTGATCACTCCTCCCCACAATTCCCTTGCAAACGATGACACTCTGCTGTCACATTTCTGTAAGTTTCTCCTCCCAGGCTGGTTGTCTCTACATCACCCAACCCCTGACTTCGCTGGCTCTGTTTCTGTTCCACTTAGTTGGTTCCTTTTAAACTAAGGAGCTAGAACAAACAACTTTACAGGTGTGTTATAATCCACGCAGAGTACACTGACAATCACTTCTTAATAAGGACACAGTATTTCTTGACATAATATCCTAATCAGGCACTAGATTTTTTAACTGCAAACTTTGTTGGCCTAAATAAATCAATCAAGATCTCTAGGGCTTATAAAAATAAACTTTTTTCCAAGCCCACTCTCTCTTATGCTCTAATTTTGAAATAGACTTTTGGAAAATAACTGGTTTTTTAACTTAAATTCAGAACTTCACATACCCATATTATTTCAAATTAACTTTTTGAAATTATACTAATAATGTTTTGTTCATTGTAAAAAATACAGATAAGAAAACATTTTGCATCTACTCTTCTAGATTTTATTTCCTTTTTAAAATTTTTGAATATACAAATAATCCATTATTCACTGTAGAAAAATCAGGAATACAGATAACCAAAACAAGAAATTAACTAACCATAATACTACTAACTTAAAATAATCACTGTTAACATTTTGATATATATCCTTTCAGAAATATATTTATACACATATACATAAACATAAATATATATTTTTACATATGTATGTGTGTGTGTTCTGAAAAGAAATGTAAATCAAATGTAAATAAACATAGCTCGTGAACATTTTTCAGGGTCAATAAAAATAGGACAATATTGTAATTTTAAATGGCTGCACATTATCTCAATAGGCTATCCCATTCTTTCTTTAACCAATCCCCAATCTTTTATTGACAGAGCTAGTGATTGTTTCAAATCTTTCATTGTTTTAGACAAAGATGCTATGTCTTTCACTGTTAAAGATAATGATGTTATGTTAGAGGTATCTACAACCCTTTCTTAAGAACTTCCCATCCACAGCGTTAGAGGTGGTAGTTCCTCAGACCAACGTACACTACTATGCTGGTCATAGCTCATTGGTTTTGGGTGAGTATCTGGCAAAAAGCCAGTCCAGTTCTCTTCTCTAAAATCTGGAATTTGTCCTGGAGACCAAAACATACTGTGGAGAGCCTTAGTCAGGTCAGGAGCTAAGCCTGCCATGTGGCAGAAACCTTCACAGGCAATTAAAAGCAGATAATTCAGCAGAGAAGATAATTTTCAAACAGAGGACAATGATGCATTCAAGCAAAAGGAAAGAGAAACAAAGGGACCAGTGGGTCTAGGAGAGAAACAGACTTAGAGAGGCCACTTGGCCACTTTGTAAGCCCATGAGGTCCAAGTGTGCTCCGGTAATTGGGGTCTGTAAGAGGCCTTACATACTAACAATGAGCTCTTTTCTTCTTACTTTTCATTGTAAAATGTACCATACATATGAAAGACTGCATGAAAAGAAGGCACAGAGCTAAAATATGAATAATATAAGTACCTGCATACCCACTAACCAGATGAATTATTAGTACTTTAGAATTCCCCTGCCCAATGCCCCTTCCCAAACATATATCCTTTGTTCTGAATTTTGAGTCAATTATTCTTTTTCTTCATATATTTTAATTATATGAACTACTGCTGCTTAAAAACTTTATTATAGAAACTGTAAACATACTCAAAATTAGAGAATAGTACAAAGACTCATTACCTCTTCTCAACCAGATTTTACTTGTTCTTGTTTCATCTATCCCCACCTCCCTGCCCTGCCCCCACACACAGATTATTTAAAGCCTAGACATCATTGTATCCACTATTACATCCATTTAGAATAAATATCTAAAGAAAAAGGCTTTCAACATATGTACAACATTATTACTCCTACAGAATTACCAATTCCTTAATATCATGTAATACCAGTTCATGCTCAAATTTCTCAATTACCTCACAGAATTTCTTTTCAAGAGCTGGTTTGTTTGAATCAGGATCCAAATAAGATTCACACACTAAATTTAGCCTACATATCTCTTAAATCTCCTAATCTATATCAATTCTCACCTCATTGTTCTATATGCAATATAGTTGTTGATATTTTTAAAAACTTATCTGCATATTTTCCCAAATTCTGAATTTGGGCAATTGCATTTTCAGGGCATCACCTAACAGATTCTTTTATCCATGCATTTCTCTTAAACTGGTCATAAATGTAGAGCTTTGCTGTCTAGTACAGTAGCTACTATCATATGTGGCTAAATTTAAATTAATTAAAATTTAAATTTAAAATTCAGTCTACCATTCTCAACTAGCCACATTTCAAGTACTCAATAGCCATGATCTGCTAAGGGCTACTATACTGGATAGCAAAGAAATATTTTCCTCATCAAGGAAAATTCTATTGAACAGTGTTGATCTAGAGGCTTGACTAGATTCAGGTTCGGTTTTGTTCTTGCAAGAATACTCCAGACGTGGTACATGTAATTCCTATTGCATTACACCAGGAAGCACATAACCTATGGTTGTCACAGTTTTAATGAAGTAAAGAATGATCACTGGGTTCATGTTTTCAGCCTAATTCACTATTAAGCTCCTCATTCACTATTAAGCTCCTCATTACCCTTTCACCTAATGGTTTTAGTAGGCATTCATAATCATGCTCTAAAATAGATCGATAATTTCATTAAAACTAGAATATGATTTTTTCCAATTCTAGCACTTTCTACAATCAATAGTTGGAATTCTTCTGTTAAACAAAACTTTTCCTCATCAACCATTTGGCTATTCTGAAAGAGCCATAAAAGAAGGTCAGGATAAAGGATAGATTCTTCACCAATTGCCAGAATACTGAGTTCAAATCACAGCAACCTCCAAAAGTGACCAATAATTTGTTTTTTGAAATATTGTTATAAATACATGGATTTTAACATATTTTATGTGTTTCAAGTTTTTCTAGCTTTGGCTTGTGGGAGCTCCTTAAAGATGGCTCCTGTGTCCTTTTAAGATGTGTCCAGCAGTCTTGCTTATTGCACAAGTTCCAAGCTCATGTTATAAACGCCCTGTCCCAGATCTGGAATCAGCCATTTCTCTAAGGAGTCCTGGTTCTTTTTCATGAGAAATGGTACTTAGAGACCACAGTCAAGGTAAAATATTATACCTACATACACATACATGAACACATATATCATGAACATCCTATATGAATA